TATATATATATATATATATATATATATATATATATATATATATATATATATATATATATATATGATGAATTAAGGTTATTTTATATATGCTACACAGAAATATATATGACAAAATGAGATTGTAAATGCAAATGAAATCATTTAAAATATTTATTTACAGTAACTTTATCGCTTTCAAAGCGATTTTCAAAAATATTGCATTGCGATGAAGAGATATACGGTGATATGTTTGGCATATATATATATATATATATATATATATATATATATATATATATATATATGAGACTACATATGCCCACCATCCAAAAAATATTCACCGTCCCTCTCCACCGTGCACATATGAACTTTCGATGAAATACTGAAGAACGAAACAGGACAGAAATTGATATATTGATTTATATGTTCATATTTGTCATTTTTTTCTCTGTATATATATATATATATATATATATATATATATATATATATATATATATATATGTGTGTGTGTGTGTGTGTGTGTGTGGAAATTGACGTTAATACCCAGAGGCGGCATATGGTTTCATGATTAAATTTTCTCGACAGTCCATGAGGATTCATGTGAAGCATGAAACAGACTGTCGGCGCTGGGCGTTGACCTGAAGGTCCACTATTAAATACGCTCTATCCCTGATATCAAGTAATTTAGCCCCTAGTTATAACATGCCATAAAACTATATTTTTATCTTGTAAGTATGCTTCTTTGTGTGTGTGTGTGCATATACATAATATTTTATATTTGAAGTTAAAATAAATTAACTTTAATGAAATTTAAATTTGTAAATTATTTTATAAGCAATAATGCACATGTGAATTTAGCGTTCGTAGATTGACATAAACATCATTAACTTTGAATTTTTTACTATTTTGTTTGATAAGTGTTGAAACTCGAATAATGCATGGAATAATAATGCAACACAAAATGTACTTAGAACAACATGTATTGAGACAAGAAACTGTACACAATATTTACATATAGTCTTTTGTATATTCCTGGTAAGACCGTTCCTGGACAATGTGTTGTCTGAGTCGCAGTCGGGCCGAGTCTCTGGTTGAATCTCTTGATTCCTCCCTCTTCCCGGTACCAACCATATTTATATGGTTGGTACTCCACTATGCAAATTAGGTGGACCCTACCACAACAATAAGGCACTTAAGAAATTCGATATTACTCTCCCTCAAGATTATAGGGAGAGAATTTCAGATCAAAACTTATAATAACTTTAGGGATTCTTTGATTATGGCTAGTATATGGCGGTTGGATTTAAACAACAGTTTCAATAAGAAATTAACAAACTCCAGTTTAAATAGTTAGAATTTAGAATATCCCTTGTCAACACAATATATTGGATGTGCTATTTTTTTAAATATCATCTTTTCGACAGATTTGATTGATTTATTGTTTCATTTTTACAGGTTATCGACCCTTTTTAAAGAATTATATTATTTCTATATTGTAAGTTTTTTTTTTAATTATAATAATTATTTGACTGATTTAATTGTTTCGACTAAACAATTAGAGATAGATTTATATCTTAACCAACAGTATGTTTTGCGAAAGTGAATATAACCACCATAACTGAAATTAGAACGCGGTTTCCCACATTTAATTCGGAACTGTTAACCATTACACCATATGCACATCCAAGCTTAAGGAACCTTTTATTCCCAAGGGGGCACCCATTTAGGTAGTGGCCAGAAAACCTGTATTTCAACGTAATATAGCCGTAAGCCCGCTTTCGATGGAGACAAAAGTGTTTTTTCCGTTAAGGTGTGAACACAGAAAAAGCTAGGTGATTAATAAGTTAAGATAAATGACGACAAAATAAGAACATGCTTTCGTTGCGGGAACAAATGAAGAAGAATTTGCAGAATGCGAGATAATTGTTGATTTCTAATTAACTGCAGGAAGACAATGCGTAGTATCAGAAAAACGCGACAACATGTGGTACGAAATTGGGAACGTTCTATCAAAACTAGATAGTGTAGCGTCATGCATACTGGTAAGAGAAAAAGGAAGTTATATAGCAATAGCTCCATTGTTTCCAGAACATAAAAATATGCACCAATACTTTTTTTTAATCACTTCACCCTAACAAAATTATAGGACTATAAAAGAACAGATGTCAGCAAGTCATAAGATTGCGATTGACGTTGCATTTAAAATATTTCAATATTTTATGCGGCATGGAAGAGACAAACCAGAAGGGAGTTCCAAAGTTTGAGAAAATAAACTATTAGACTATAAATATATAAATTTTCAACACTAAAACGGTGAGACCTAATAGCCAATCTAGTACTATGCTTAAGTTGAAAAGAGCGATTTTCCAAGTACGAGAGCTCATTAGTAAAATTGCCATGAAAATATTTATAGAAAAGACAGGGGGATACTACGTCACGTGTTTGTGAATCTCACTAAAAGCTGAGATACCATGCCAGGACCGATATCATTACAGACACTTGACAGAAGGTTCTCGAAGTATATACACGCAGCACCAAACCAGATATGGTAGTAATATGCAATGCAAGGACGAATGGTAGATTTAGAAGCGTGCAAGCTGGATTCTAACGAAAATAAGTGTCTGACATGTCATCATAAAACAAACTGCTTAGTAAGAGACGTAGCAATTGATTCATTACAATCCCTAAACTTAATGTCAATAGATAACTGAGTCCAAGAAGGCGCAGGGTGTTGTCCTCCAGGAGGGAAGAATCAGCCATCTTGATGGAGGCAACATCCTGTTATCTACGATGAGAAAAGAATAGAAAATTTGCTTTGGAAGAGTTAAAATATATACGCCATTTCTTACACCGGATAACAAACTGATTGAATGCCATTTTCGAGAGCAGCTGCCAGTTTTACTTTGATGTTCTTATCACATTTACTATTAAGACAGGAAAAAAATACTGTGTCATCGGCATAAATACGCAGAAAAATAACGTTAGAAAGAAAAATAAATAAGAATGCCTAGCAGCTACTTAATATCTTAACTCATCTATGGAAGAACGTACTTGACACTTTTTTTACGGATACAGAAGAGAACTCGAAACGAAACATTTTGCTCTACGGAATAATACTATGAAGACTATAGTAATCTTACTTATTATAAAACGCAGGTTTTGTGTGTGTGTGTGGGGGGGGGTCTGTACGTTTATATATTGGATCGGATTTCCTACATTTTTCAACCGATTTTAACAAAACTTCACAGGACTACGTAAAATTACCTTGCGGTGGTTCTGACAGTGACAAAAATTGGATAAACACAGTTGTTTTTGCACGAAATCAATTTGAAAACACGATTAAGAGGCATTAATGAAAGGGGGACAACTCATATCGAGTTATACTTATTAATATCGAGTTATCGAGTTATACTTATTATAAAACCCAGGTTGGTTGTTTGTGTGAGTGTGTTTGTTTATATATGGGATCGGATTTCCTACATTTTTCAACCGATTTCAACAAAACTTCACTTTTTTTTGGCAGCTAGTGTTTCTTATTGTCTTGCACACTTTTTTCTTTATTTTTACATTCAGAATGCTTTAAGAATTCAATTTACAAGACAGTTGTTTATAATAAAATTCTATTCAACCGGTAGACTCATAACAATTGAAAACAATGTTTTTGTTTGGGTTTGGGTTTGACCAATTTGTAAAAATCAAAAAACAAAAAAAAACAAAACAAAACAAAACTAATTAAGACATGCGTGTCCGTCAACCTTAAACAATAATCTTTGTCAATTTTAGTTTTCAGTCTTTATGATGGTCGATACTTGATCTATCTCTTACTGTTACATCCCCGGGCAACGCCGGGCTCTACTGCTAGTATAGAATATGAGAAATAAAAAAAACAAATGGATGCATATACTTTCGTATAGATGGTAATGGTAGTATTGACCATTTCCCAACTAAGAACATTTGGCATTTATTGACCGAGCAACTATATAACTTTTAGGTTGGAATTGATAAAATATTTCCATTAAAATAATTTTTTTTTTTTTTTTTTTAGAAAAAACAGTTTTCTAATGTCTTAATGTTTCTTTACTGTTTTTTTCTTCTAATTCTCGATCATTGATTGTTTTGAAAAATTTATCGTGAGTTCTTTTTTTCGTGCAACACCGGGCCGGAACAGACAGATAAAGTTAGAATTACTAGGACAGCTAATGATGAAAGAATCCCTACATATGTTAATATTGCAGGATAAATTGAGAGTAAATAAAAAAAAAACAGACAAAATAAGGAGCAAATTACATAAGGATTTTACGTCAGTTGATGATAGATTAAGTAAAAAACAAGAATGGAAAACTGAAATGATTAGCGATGCAAAATGGTAGGAATTTTGCGTTGAAAAAATATTAAACGTAGTATTCATTTCATTAGTTAACCTCTTCCTATATACAGAATATATTTTAAAATTAAATGCAAACATTAATTATAATTATTAATCCCAAAATAATTGTCATTGCTTTACCAATTTGTCTGAGGGGGAGCTTACATAGTTATAAATGAGCACGGTTGTATTTTTAACAGTAATAATTATGCAGTTATATTAATTGCTGAGATATCAGTCAGTAACGTGCCATGCGAGATACACATTTAAGCGATCAGGTAACTTTTGATATATGACTGAGTTTTTTTTCCCCCGCTGTAGGTTTCTTTCTACGGTAGACCAGTTGCCAGCCAGAGCTATAGAACCCGGTCTGTCCTGCTATTTATCTATAATGGAGGACTTATATCTTTCCCAAGGTTATTAGCACGAAAGTAAATGTAATAAAGTCGATTGGAATTCGAATTCGGGTCTCCGATTCCTCAATCCTAGACGCTATATATTACTTTGTCGTGCATGAAATATAGTGGTTTTTAAAAGCTTTTTATTTAAACAAAGCTTAAAGTAAAAGTATTTAAATAATTAAACATTAAATGTATTAACTTTCCATGTAATAGAAACGAAATAGTATTGCGGTAAAGATTATTGAGACACGATGCGCTTTTCTTTCTCATGTTCTGGAAGCCGATACATCACCACATGAAATCAACGTAAATTCGGGCCTTAATCATAAAAAAATATATCTCTCCAAATTGCAATTTCCACCATATCTTGGATGACTTCTATTTTTTTTATTTTTATTTTCTTATCTTTATCTAGTTCATTTCTTTAACAATTTGACACCAAACAAGACGGTAAATGCCATTCAGAAAAAAGAATTTACTAAGACTAAAAACTTACTAAAGATATGTAAGTTAAATATTTTATCAGTTAAATACACGAAAATCAATATCTGTTGACTAGGACTTAGCCGTATTCAGTATTTAAAATTTATGCATTAAACCAACTGAGATGAAGGAATATTATTTCTACTATTTTTTTTCAAAGAAAAATACATATTTATTTTGTCATATCTATCTGTCGTTAAGGTTTGTAAAGTATAAAAGCATATATCTCTGTTTGTCTGTCTGCATGTGTCTGTTTGTGTAGCTCAAACAGACAGCCTGTCTGTCTGTCTTACCTATCGACCGAAAAAAAAAAGGAAGGAAATAATCTATCACCATGTCAGCATTCTTTCATGAACATACCTCTTTGTCAGCTTTTATTTAAAAAAAAAAAAAGGCCCATTTTAAAAAGATAGGTTAAATATTTTATGAAAGTCTAACAGTCTCAACTGAGATGAAGGAATATTATCTATTTTTTTCTTTTCAAAGTAAAATACATATTTATCTATCTATCTATCTATCTATCTATCTATCTCCGTGTCTTCATTATCTATCTATCTGAAATCTATCTATCTATCTATCTATCTATCTCCGTGTCTTCATTATCTATCTATCTATCTATCTATCTATCTATCTATCTATCTATCTATCTATCTATCTATCTATCCTTATGTGGATGTGTATTCATTATTATAGAATTTGTTCGAATCATCCTCATTCCTTCCTATTCCACTGGTCAAACTTTGTTTTCGTTTCCAAGTCGGAGTCGAGGTTTCAAACTTTAAGTCGAAGACTTCTTCAAGCAGCAAATTTACGGAATTCTGCTGAAGCACTCGTCTTTCTATTTTTTCTCTCTTCCGCCCTCTCTCTCTTTCTCTCTCTCTCTCTCTATCTCTCGCTATATAGGGTCTTTCAATTCTTCCACCTTGCAATTTCATCAGGGCACTCTGCTCAATTTACCCAATAGTCTGGAAGGAGGCGAGAGTTTTTCGTGCATCAAATCACATAGCGTAATGGAAGCGCTTCTCTGCCTTACATGCTGCTCTCTCTCTCTGTGTCTGTCTTCTCGCTTCTCGGGATGTCTGCATGGTTATTTATGGAGTCCAACCTCAAAGAACCGTGTTGGGGTTGACTTAATCTAGGATACATACGAATATCCTGTCACTCAATTAAATCTCTCCACGGGTGCTGATGGGTGTCCCTTGTATGTCCAAATATGTCCATCTTGTTCTCCGCATTTCTCTTGCTCGGACCTTGCACCAATACCTTACAGTGGGCGTATCCATTTTCGTCCTATTTCTTCATATCCCCTCCCGCCATCCAGGGAATAGGTGTTTCACCGAAGACAAGACATATTTTATTTCTAATGCCAACATAAAATTATTATCTGATCTCTGGAGTGGTCGCATAATCCTCTGTCCAGGCCAGCGCCCTTTTCAACACACCGTCCTTTGGTCCTAACTTCCAAAACAAGATGAGACGTCACGTCTAAATAATGCTGGACGTTTCAACTTTACCCAAGTTGATTTCAGCGCTGTCTTCTAGCGTGGTCCTTATTCACGAAATGAAAACAGAGTAAAATTATATTTTATATTGTTTTCAGTATATCATTCCATCTAACTACTGTGACGTCGTCCCCTGGTCGCAGCGCCAACTGTGACGTTCTATCCTGATCTACCACGGCACCAGTTGTGACGTCCCCAAACAGCACCAATTGTGACGTCCTCGCCGTGGCGCCAGCTGTTCGCTCCTCACTGCTCCATTCGGTTGTCGCTGCTCCAAACGTGACGTCCGCCTGTCGCGTCAGTCGTGTTGTCTCGTCCTGTGACGACCAATTGGCTTGATATCGGTCGCGGCACCCAAATGTGACGTTCTAACCTTTTGGTGATTCGGGTGGGAATCTGGTTAGATTTGATATCAGCCTCGTCGTTCCCAACTCGCTTCCAACGCCTGGTTACCAAGGTAACTGCATTGATCTCCAGTCTGCCCACCCACGTTGTGAATTGATCTTAGGCAGACGAGATCAATCAGTAGTCAGGGCTGTAATGCAAACTGAGTTCAACGGGGGTGATACCACACAAATATGCATAAAAAAAAAATAAAATGAAAACTCAAAAAGTTCAAAGTATCAAAGAAAAAGGTAACAAACTTTATGTCTAGTTGTTCGATACATAGGACTGCATCTATCTCCGACCCGTTCTGTGGATTGTGACACGTCGTTTTCCGTTAGGCAAGTTTTAACGCTTCAAGTTGTTTGCTCTCTAAGAAATTGGTGTTTCGGTGTGTCTTTGGACGAAAGTCGAAAAAAACTTATTTCGGTGGTCTGGATCTAAGTCGCTCTTCAAAATAATTGTCCTTGGGTTGAAGAGGATCCTGAATTTGCGTGAATCTTGGTCAGCTGAACTCACTGGAACTGCTGGAACTCAACTCTGGAAACTGCTGGAGCCCGGACTGATTTCTGCTCGTAGGGGCTTCGCTTTTATGGACGCCGACCAAAACCGAGGTGGGTCTGTCGGCGTCGGGGGTTCCTCGATAATTCTAAATACATATCCACCTCTTTTATTTCTGGTTAGGGATTTTCCATTCTTTTCCATTTTTGGGAACCTTTTCCTCCTCCTACCTTCTCCACCATACTTCAGAGGGCGTGAACTGCCCTCCCCACTTCTTCGTAGCAGCTTCTCATACCTATACTCTGGATGAGGCGTCCACAGCCTCCTTCGTGCGTCACGTGATCACCACTTGACCAATGATGTCTTAGTCAGCGTGGACGAATCCGCGGCTTTGTTTCAGGAAGAAAAAAATATCTTGCTTAACTAAAAAATAATATCTCTTCTCTTTCCCTTTTCTTCTTCTTAATCACCGTTATCATTTCTCTAGCCGCAAACGGGACAATATAACTCTTGTTCTACACGTGGTTTTCGTCAGGTATTTTTATCACCAATTATCAGAATGGGTGGTCTTCTTAACACGGCCTCAAAAAGGAAACATGTCCAAAGTTTCAGTCAGTCTGTCGCTTCGAAGAAAGAAGAAAAAACACTTCTGGGTCCCCATTCATTTTCTTTCGGTACATATTTCTGAAAACATAATTTTATTATTGTAGGCCAAAGATGTTGTGCGGCAAGAAAATCGGTCAGTGTAGTTACTTCGTGTGTGTCGCGATTAATTTTTCCGTATGTACCCAAAGCCCTGTAGTTACACCTGTGTTTTGTCAATTATCAAAATTAACGTTTTCAATTAGACTTTTCTTTGGCGAACATTTCTTGATAACATAATTTTATTATCGCAGGCATAAAGATGTTCTGCGGCAAGAAAATCGGTCAGTGTAATTACTTCGTGTGTGTCGCGATTAATTTTTCCATATCTATTCAAAGTCCCTGTTTTTCGTCACTTATCGAAATAACATTTCCACTTGAATTTTTCTTTGGCCAGTCGACCAGCAGTTTGTTTACGTACTCCTAGATAACACAGCCGTTATCAAAACACATCTGATTCTTTCTTTCTTTCCCTTTCTTTTTACTCAGAATTTCCCTGTCATTGTAATGACACCCTTTCGCCATTTGTTACTTATCAATATATTCATTGTCTCTTAGCCGTGTGTGTGTGTTCTGCTGATCACCCACGATTCGTCTCGCCTTTCTTTCTGCCTTCTTTTCTTTCTTTTCCTTTTCTGCCTCGTAAATGGTGCCACACTACTATCTTCGTCTTTGTTTTCATTTTCGATTTAATGTAATCATTTTTTTTCTTTATTCAAATTATCAGCATTCTTACAATGTCATAATCTATCTGTCGTTCTATTTATTCAGTTCTAGGTTTGTTAAGGTCTACACTTCTGTCACTCACTCTCCCTCTATGCTATATAATATAACGGATACTGCTAGATAACATCTGCTGATGATAACTGGTTCTTGGGGTATATATTTTTAAAATCTTGTCGCCCCAGAAAGACGAAACAGCCAGGAAAACGCAAGCCGTTGCTGAGAATGAAAGAAAGAAACGAAGAATACGTTATTGCGAGGAACGGACAATCAAAGAATAGTATTCAAAAAGACAGAAAATGGCGATTCACATTTCAATTAAACTTTCAAGTTCACAGATGCCAAGCCCAAGATGTGAATTTCGAATTGATGACACAAATATCAAGCAAGCAAGTCAAATATCGAGAAGTGTTTTACAGAGAACGGAAAATATGACTCCGAAATCCGAATAAAAGCATTGTGATATCTAAATATGAGCTCCAAAATCATAGAAAATTAAGAAACAGAAAATGTTCGTTAGAAATTTGCTAAAATGCTATGCAAAATCGATCTTCCTATAAGGCAGCGAATCTGGTCAATCTGCTAACATATGAAGAATAAAGTGAAATGCTGTTCTATCGAAGGGTGCTGAGATTACAATGGGCTGAACATGTAAGTCGTTATTCACATGTTCTATCCATTGGATTCCCATTTTTTTAGGGTAAACGTTAGCAAAATAGGCAGTTTTGTCAAGAATCACAAAGAGACGATTGAAATTTCTCGTGTACCTGGTGAGGACGGAAGGATTGGAAAACATAACACACCCAAATATATATTGATGGCAATAAGAACAGAGGAATGCTGCGGATAACGTACCAAAATTGATTGCGTAAATTTATCGGTAGAAGAGAAATTAAGAGATACAGCAAAAGACAAAACCTTAAAAAAAAAAAAAAAAAAGAAATAACAAGGATTTGTCGATAATTAGGGTCCCTCACATTCTTGAGGGTACGTCACAGAAGGATGGCTAAAGCTCGACTAATATAGAAAATTGTTTATGAATGTTGTCAATGACGAAACATGTATGAATCTATGGAAATTATTATTCAAATATGGAGAGAATTATTTATTGATTTATATCATAATATTAAACGTTGTTATCACTACATGTAGAAACGCGAGCACATACGCACCCACAAAACCCCTTAGGTGAACAAACTTCTAAGCATGCAAGTTGCGATAGTATTTCCGACTTACTTCTTAAAAGCGCCATACCTACATACTTACTAGATCATTCTGATACGTGAAATATCAACATTTCCAGGCAAGGAATGTTTAATTTTCACAAGGATCATGCTTTAGAAATCATCATAAGTATAATGTATGACGACAGAAAAACGTGTTGAGGTGAATAACTATTTCGCAAGAGCAGCCTTTATTTGTCCTCAGCATGAAATATGTCATTTCATTACACGGATTAATTACACTATTTTGATCGATCTTTCCAATAAACCGTTTGCAATAGAAGAATACATATTTATTCCAGTAAAGCATGCTTGGTTCTTATGGCTGCAAATTATAACCAAACATAAACAAACAAAAATAAGTTAGAGATTTAATAACATTATTTATCGACAATGTTTGCATAAGTCTCTCTTCATTGTCAACGAGTTTTTCTTTATTTCTAGTGAATGTCAAATTACAATCATTTCTCAAGCATAATTAAAGTTAAATTATTCCCAATTGTTTGCTGAATTAAATCATTACAATTGCAGTTATATAGTTCGTAGAAAAAGACGTATTGATTGACTAATGCTTATATTCTGTCATGGTTAAAAATCAATTTAAATTATGCAGGTAATAATCCGATATTATCAGTAAATCTGCATTCAAGTCGATTAATTTCTTCCGGATTTCCCGCGTACATAGCAACATTATTCGTATTGAAAACTCTTGAAGTTGGGAACTAATTAAATGAATTTTATACTGTCTAATCAAAAGGTAATGGGAGATTTCCGATGGTAAAAGAGCCAAAGTTCATAGAATATATTTGCTTTGCACATATAGTCCTTGAACACTGTTACGCATGCTCACTAATAACGTTCTTAGGTTGCTTGTAACCGTGTTTGGAAGGAGCGTAGAGTATGGCAGTCTTACCACACCACAGCACACAAGACCACAGATTTCCCATCAGTGATAATGTCTTGCCCAGCAGATTTTGTCACAAAGGAATTCCAGTTATAATTCTATCAATGGAAACATAAAATGTATGCCTTCCGTTGGGGACTACATCGGAGATTAAATGCCGAATTGATAGTATTGTAGTATTCTTTTTATCACATCATTTCTTATACTTTTTCATCAGGCCTCGTTTAACGTAAGCTATCCACCGATTTAGGAAGTTTTCA